TCCACAAAGAATTTGTTTACTAATTAATTTGTTGTATTTGATGTCTTTAAAAATTTCTTTTTCACAAAGAGAGTACCAAAAATTTGTTACTATTTCTGTTGGTTATTATCTTTCAAATATAAATCACATGTTCTTTATATGTTTCAATTAAATAAGAGAGTTATTAAAGATTTATATGTTTAAGATAATTAAAGTTGAGAGAAACTAATTTAATAAAGATAGATAACAATATGTTCATTTTGTTAAACTGCTAGAATGAGTTCAGAAATCTTTTTTTAATTCAAATAATTTAGTTATTAAATAATTTTCTTTTATTGATTAATTTTTTAATAAAATTATCTTCTTTTTTTATTATAAATCTAAATAATATTAATCAACTTTTGCAGAGTAGTGACAAGAGATTAATTATATTATTATAGATAATATTACTTGTTATAGATGAGAGATCTTTTAAATATAAAAGAATACAAATAAGAAAGAAAAAAGATAATTAATGCTTGACTGAAAATCTCTAACTTAAGACTTATAATATGATTTACTTTTAAGAAAATTTTGTCAAAAGAAAATTAAAGTGAATAAGATTCAAAAGTGAATAATTATAAAAGTGTAAGAAAATTATTTTTCTAAGCTAAGATACATGTTATATTTATATAAGTTATTATTACTTGATCTTCAAATATTAAAGCTATTTTTGATTAATATTATGATTACAAAAAGTACTTGCTTGATGATTATATATTGCTTACTCACTTGATGGTTGTACATCACTCGCTCTAATATTACATAAATTTCACTATTAATATCAATCAAATTTGATTATATAGATCAATTAACACGTATTTTTTATACTAATAATAATAATATAAATTAAATATGATTAGTATGAATTATAATTAATATAAAATAAAATAATATAAAACTAAAATAAAATAGAATGAAATAATATAAAATAATTTAAAAATAGAATAAAATAGTATAAAATAAAAATGGAATATTATGAAATATAATAAAAATAGAATGAAATATAATAAAAATAATATGAATAAAATATGAATAATATAAAATAAATATAAATATAATTTATAAATTATATATAAATTAATTATCCAATTAAAATAAACTATGAAAAGTTATATGCTATATCAAAATTCATATCATAACAATACTCTAGTAACACAGTTAAATTTTTCTATAGTTACATTCATTTATAGTCACACTTTTCTATAGTCACCCTATTTTGCTTTCCTATTTATATATAAATATAGTAAAAAAATCTTTTCATAATCACATCTCCTCTATAATCACCAAATTTTGCTTTCTCGAGATGGTAACTATAGAAAGATTTGATTGTATTTCTTGAAAAAATTTTCTAACTTTAGTATCAGTTAATTTTGTGTGATTCAAATTAAAAAAGATTTATTTATTATTGATTTATTTGTTCTTTTACAGAGAATTCTTAATCCAATTCTGATTTTCTTTGATATAATACTTTGTTTATTTATAAAGAATTCTTTGTTCAAATAGAATTTTAATAGTGTGAAATTATCTTTTTTATTTAACTTAAAAGATAATCATTTGGAAGACTTATTATTTTGAATTATTATCTTTAAAATTATAAAGAAATTTAGTAAAATTTTAGTGAAGTTATTAAATATTATTCTAGTTTATTACAATAAGAATATATATTATCTATTTTTAGTAATAGTTTTTAGTTTCTTTCACTATAAAAACTTAGTCTTATATATCTCTCAGTTAATAAAAATATGTAAATAATATGTAAATAACTTAAAATTCATAAAAATGATAACAGATTTTGGTGCTTTCTCTGTATAACAATTAGACTTATTTTCTAAAACTAAGATACAAGTTGTATTTATAACAAATTATTAAATCTAATTTAGCTATTATACAGTTGATCTCCAGCACTTTCATCACTGTTATCACTTGGATTATTTTTGTCACTTATACAGTTAGTGAACTAATTATTAATAGTTCAAATCTTGTTCAATAACATTATTCTAATTATTATCCAATAATTTTAACTAAATTATTTTCAATTAACTTATAATATAAATTTATCAATTAAATATTTATATTATAACAATATATATTTATCAAAAATTCAATAAAAAGCTAAATATTTATAGAATTTAATTAGTATTAATCAAAAAATACTAAATGTATCTAAAAAGTCTATTATTATATTGTTAAATAACTATTAAAAAATCTAAAAAATCCAAAATAATATATATTAAACTATAAATTATAATTTTTATTTTGATATAAAAATAAAAAATATTTATTAATAAAATTGAAAACTTTATATAAGAAAAAAAATTTTAATTTTTACTATATTTTATTAATAAAATTACATATATAATTTTATAATTTTATTAGTTACTATATATTATATATATTAATTAATAAATTAAGTTATATAAATTACCAATTTTTTTAGAAATAAATTAGAAAATATAATAAAATATATTAATTAATAAATTAAAATTATAAAATTTATTGATTTTTTTAAAAATAAATTATAAAATATATAAAATCTACGATTAATAAATTAAAATTATAAAAATTACTAATTTCTTCAGAAATAAATTAAAAATATCAGAAAATATATTGAAAATTAATTAAAATTATAAAAATACTAATTTCAGAAATTAAAATTGAACAAAAAATCTAAAATTCTTTTAAAAAAGAGTAAAAGTTTTTATAACTAAAATAGAAATTTATTGGATTAATTAATAAATTTTTGAAATTTAAATAAAAAATAAAAATAATAATTAAGAAAATATTTAAAATCAAATTTTTTTATGGGCAAATATTTATAAACTATTAATAAATTATTTTAAATTATAATAATTAATTATATAATATGTATAAACATTTTCTAATACAAATCAAATCTGTTCAATAAGTATAACTACAAATAATCTAATTATAAATTTTTAATTTAATTTTTTATAAAAGTATAATAATTTTGTAGTTTGTCCATTTTGTCACAAATTCAAGATTTAATTCCATGAATTAATTTTGAATTTATGAAATTACAGAACAATTTATTGTTGATTGTATTATATACGAATTTGATTTGCACCCGAAAATGCTGACTTTTTATAACACACTAACTTTAATTCAAAATTCCAAAAATATACATATGTATTCAAAAGCAGCATGATAAATTATTATATCATTAATTACATGACATTTTCATCTAAGCCAAAAATGCGTTAAAACAAAATTTTTTGATTCCAAGTTCCTTAGCACGTATGAAGAATTTGATAAGCCAAATATTTGGGAGATTTTCAGCTTATCGATTTTACCTTGCATAACGCCATAACTTTATTTTAATATCATAATTTTATTTTATTGCTAATTTAGCATGATAATTAAAAATGTAAAATCTCGCCAATCATAATACAAATCTGAAAAGTAAATGCAAAGTGCTTTTGTGATTCAGATTAATGAAATACTGTAATTTATAAATGTTCAAACAAATTATTACTTTAGAGTTAAATTGCGTATTTGAAAGCTTTTATATTCATTGATAATCTTTGATTAAACAAAAAATCACCAAAACACGATTTTCTCGAAATTATTTGTTAGATCTAAATTTTTAGATTTCCCCTGAATCAGTTGTGTTAAGTCACACCCCTCTATAATCACCCAATTTGACTTGGAGCCCATGAATTTTAAAGTTGCATGATTAACCCGCAATTTTTGGTGACTTTGTAATTTAATGCGCGTAAATAATAAATATTAAATAATCAATAAACCATGAATTTTTGTTTAATATTATTAAAAACATAAGTGGGCGAAGTGATGGTGGCTAAATAATTGTAATATTATTAAACATAAAGTAGGCGGAGTGATGGTGGCTAAATAATTGTATACATAGTGAAGTTCACTTTAACGAAAGGTCTCGTTCGTTAATGTTGAATTCTCCGTTAAAGTGAACCTTCGTTAAAGTGAACTTCAATGTGTATTCCAAATAGAGAATCCAGTTCGCAAAAAACTAATTAAGCAATCAATAGGTTAATTTAACGTTAATGGTGATTAATTGATTATCTTTGACATACGTAATTTAAAGTGATAATATGTACTCTCGAAACAGAAGTTTCTTCTTTAAGGTGATTAGAATTTTATCTTTGAATACAAATAATATATATATATATATAGATAGATAGATAGATAGATAAATAAATAGATAGAAATTTGCAAGAAAGTACGTATCCGGAGACAACACTACAGCATACACGAGCATTGATGTAACAACCCTAAATGTGTAAAAGAAAGAGGTTGTAATTCTTTCGTCATCAATTCACCTGCATGGTATTGCATCTTATTAATAACGTCACAAGAAAAAGAATTTAGCCGAATTATCGAATTGCGTTCGGTTTCTCGGTGATTTGAATTATTAATACATGTACGCATTCGAGAACCAAATTGTTTGTCAAAGTGTACAATCGTTTAACACCAATTTCGTATCTCAAATATGACGTTAGTGAGTTTGAGGAAAAACCGAGTGTTTCGATCGCGAGAACCCAAATTCGCATCACAAATAGAAATATGATGTATGCATGCATGTTTGGGTCGTCTAACTCCTTTAAACCCAGTATAATAATTAATTAAAGAAGTAATTTTATTTTATAGAATTAATGATTGTTGACAGAGACACAAAACAAATAAGTAAAATGCATATGTGCTATTGTCATATTCTACATATAAATAAATATTTGTATGTTTGTATGTTTGTATCCCGTTACTGTTGTTTCTATCATTATTCCCATCCACTTTTTCTTCTATACAATTATACAGTTATGTATAATGAATAATGTACATATACATAACATATTACATACATATAAACTATAACTTAAACTTCGAGGTAATGATATAAATATGTAGCCACCTTCACACACACAAATTATTTGGATTTTACGCCTATTTATCTTTTATCCTCTATATTCAATCAGAAATACCTTTGGAAAATGAGTCGTCTCTCAATATTCGTAATTTTCTTCATGACTTTAATCACGGTTGCTTTATCTGGTAGTGTATATATTTATTTATTTATTAGTGATAAATAATTTCAAAAGACGAATATTAATTAATTAATTAATAATATATAAATCGAACAGCTACTAGTTTAAACACACCTAGCAACCAGCTTCAAGGTAGCAAAGTAACTATCACATGGAAATACGATGGTCCATCGGGTGAAACTGGAACTCTCTCACTCATAAACAAAAATGATCCTAACAAGATCACGGCACTTGGCCAAAACGTTAAATTAAGCAGCCAATCTTTTCCATGGGTCGTTGACGCAGAACCAGGAACTTATTATTTGTCATTGTCTAATCCTGACGGTAATGCTGAATCGGGAAATTTTAATATTGTAACACCATCGAAGTCAACACCAACCAGCAGCGGCAATAGCACCAGTAATGCTAGTGCTAGTGCCAGTGCTAGTGCCAGTAATAGCAACAATAGCACCAGTTCTACAACCTCTGGTTCTACTCAATCGAGCGATAGTTCCTCACCATCAAATACATCAGTCAGTTCAAC